CAGTTTTACTCAAATTAGTTTATGCAAAAATTAATACATCCCATAACAAAAAAACGACTCCATCTAGTATTTTGTATGACCTCCATAATTTGTAAGGACAGCACCAAGTCTTCTAGGAAGGGAATGAACAAGTTGGCGATGTATTGCAATTTCTATCTTTTTCCATTCTTCAAGAACAACCTCTTTTAGAGCCTGGATGCTGGATGGAGAGTGATGCTCAACTTGTCTCTTTAGAATTTACCTTTGAATCACTTTTTACCCTGTTCTTCAGAAATGCAACAGTGGACTTAGATGTGTGTTTTGGATCATTGTCATGTTGGAAAGCTGCACGACGACCAATGTGATGTAGCACTCTTTCCTCTTTCAATATAGAGCAGTACATCTGTGAATTAATGATACTATCAATGAAATGCAGATACCCAACACCAGCAGCACTCATGCAGCCCCACAGAAGGACACTGCCACCACCCATGTTTCACTGTAAGCACCATGCATTTTTCTCTGTACTCCTCACCTTTGCAACGCCATACAGTTTTGAAGCCATCTGTTCCAAAAACATTTTTCTTGGTCTCATCACTCCAGAGTACAGAGTCCCAGTAGCCATCTTCTTTTTCAGCATGGGCCCTGGAAAAATCTAGATGGGCTTTTTTGTGCATGGGCTTAGGAGAGGCTTCCTTTGTGGACGACACCCATGTATGTCATTCCTCTGCAGTGTACGCCATATTGTGTCACAGGAAACAATCACCCCAGTTTAGCCTTCTACTTCTATAGCTAGCTGCAGTGAACTTGCATGGGAATTTTCTTTAACCCTTCTCATCAGAAGATGCTCCTGTCGAGGTGTTAACTTCTGTTGACAGCCTGGAGGTCTCTGTGAGATGGTTGCAGTTCCATCTTTGTAAAATGTTTGTATCACTTTTGCTACAGTATTTTGACTGGTAAGTAAAGCTTTGCTGATCTTCTTGTAGCCTTCACCTTTCTTGTGTAAAAAAAAATATTTTCTTTCTCAGGCCTTGTGACATTTCTCTTCCATGTGGTGCCATTGCTGACAGCATGAAATGGGAAGGGGTTTTCTTTGTTAAGTAACATCATTTTATAATCACAGATTAAGTTCTGATTTTTAGCACATGATGCACTGATATTTTTGTTAGTGTTTTTTTTATATTTTAAAGTTGCACTTCTGTTTGTCAAAAAGCAATATTCTTGTAACAAAACTTTGGTTTTATTTATAAAGACATTATAGAACACAACAGCTAAATCTGTGTCTGTAGTGCATGCACACATACCTTAATACCATAAATAATAACATGTTGTTAGATTTCTACTCCAGGAGTTTGGAAATTCTAAGAGAAATACTTAAATAATGCATTACAATTTAACTAAACCCATTCGATTTTAGTTGGCTAATATGATTATAATCGACTAAAATGATCTTAGTCAACTAAAATGTACTGGAGATTTTAGTCTACTAAATACGACTAAAACTAAAACAATTCAGATGATTAAAATATGAGTAAAACTAAAATGGCATTGGTAATGGTCAAAAGACTATTTCTAAAACTAAATCGAAATTTGATGTCAAGATTAACACTGGGGAAGAACACAGATGCACAGTTGTGGCAATATTATCACTGTACTGTATATAGCCTATGCAAAAAGTATAACTGGGGGAGAGACTTGGCAGGCTCACCTTCCCACTGGCTGCCTGCAAGAAACTACAGGAGGGAAAGATACAAGACCAGTCACCCTACACAAAGAGAGAGAGCAGCAGTGGCCATTTTTTTTGGCAAAGGCAAATGTTCACACTGATTACCACTCAAATCTGGAAACAATACCCAAAACACATTATGATTCAAGCAAAAATACATGTCTCTTGTATTTAGACAATATTTGCTTTTTCCAGAGTTCAGCTTTAACATACTTGTACAAGTAAAAGCATTCACAAATATAAGCGTTCTACTGTGTGTTTAACAGTTTGCTGAAGTTCAGCATTAACCAGTTCCACACCACCCTATAGCAGAAATACTGCTACAGGGTGGCACAGGTGTGCAAAAATCATGTATATATACGTGATATTGCAGGTCTGGGTAGAGGGCATGCGTGCCGCGCACATGCTCTACCCACGCTGCTATTTGCGGCCTCGGCTGTCAATCACCGGTCCTGGCCAGTGATTACTCGCTGGCACCCAGTGATCTGTATAAACAACACAGATCTCTCCCGTCAGCTACTGCACACTGCATACAAAGCAGTGTGCTTACAGTGAAGCACACACACAGCCCAAGTCTTGAAACAAAACACAGTTAACCCTTTGATAGCTCCAGATATTAACCCCTGGGGATGTCATTAACACCAAGTCAGTTCCCCCCAGTGCAGGGGTGGACTGACAACTCATGGGGCCCCCGGGCAATAGGGGATCATGGGGCCCCTGTGTCCTTGCCCAAACTCAAAAAAGCCTATGAAAAAAGGTACCAGGGGCATCTCATGGGGCCCCCTACTGACCCTGGGCCCTCGGGCGCTGCCCGTGTTTCCAAATGGTCAGTCCGCCAATGCCCCAGTGTTAGAATGCCCGCAGCAGTCCCGCAGTCCCACTGTAAGTCACTGATCACTACTAGTAAAAATTAAAAAAAAAATCCAGTGTATATACCGCCATTTGTAAATGCTATAACTTTCACGTAAACCAATTAATTCACATGTATCGGGATTTTTTTTAGCAAAGACTTGTAGCAGAATAAATAGTGGGCCTAAATTTATGTCGAAATTGGATTTTTTTTAGTTTTTTACTGGACATGTTTAATAGCAAAAAGTCAAAAATATTGTTTTTTTTCTCAAAATTAGCAGTCTTTTTTGTTTATAGCGCAAAAAATAAAAAAAAAAGCACAGGCAACCAAATACTACTGAAAAAAATCTCTATTTGTGGGGAAAAAAAGAACATAAATTTCATTTGGGTGCAGCATTGCATGACTGTGCAATTGTCAGTTACAGTAACACAGTGCCGTATTGCAAAAAAATGGCCTGGTCAGGAAGGGGGGTAAATCCTCTGGAGGTCAAGTTGTTAATAAATGTATCATTATTTACAGTATGTATTTCATTACCTCTGTGTCTCCTCGCAGAGGCTACAAAGCTCTCTCCCAAAGCCTGTGATGTAACAAAATAACAAAGGAAATCTTGCCTTAGTAATTTTCTCTTTAAAGGTCTATGTAAACCAACCACATTTTTAGCAAAGAAATCTGGATTAAGGGTGACTGAACCTGTGTAACCTGGTAGTGCTCATGTTTTACAAATATAACACTGTTACAAGATGGCAACAATCCATTGACAGGTCTTGTAGTTCAAAAGGGAGGGGCATACAGTCTGTATTCCTTTGACACACATGCCGCCATAGCATGTTTTGTAACTGTGACAGCAGCCTGCATGCAGCTAATGGTTTACAGTTTTAATGGCTACAATGGATCTCACAGTAGACCCCATCTCAGATGTAAACTATTTATTTGTTTATTGCAGGTACTTCTATAGTGCTGTCAATTTACGCAGCGCTTACATATATATTGTACATTCACATCAGTCCCTAACCCTAAAGGAGCGCACAATCTAAGGTTCCTAACTTACATTCATACATACATATACTAGGGCCAATTTAGACAGGATCCAATTCACCTACCAGCATGTCTGTGGAGTGTGGGAGGAAACCCACTCAGGCACAGGGAGAACATGTAAGCTCCAGGCAGGTGGTGCCATGGTTGGGATTCAAACCAACGACCCTAGTGCTAACCACTTAGCCACTGTGCTGCCCCAAATTATTTTAAATGAGTAATTACTGTATTGTTAAGCCCCATTGACACCCAAGTGTATTTGTCCCTGAGGCTACGCACAACAACTCTCAACATTAGGAATCGCACTCTCTTCAATGCAGCCAGAACTCATCCCTTTGCTCAGTCACTGGAGCTCACCACTGGGGAGCACCAAAAAGAAAACAAAAATCAAAACATATGAACAATTCTCTAGCGCTACCCCTACAGGAGCTGCTGGTAGTTTGGATCTATTTCCCCTACTTGCAGTATACACAGCCAGGCACACTGTTTCAGCATTCATCCTTTGGCTCAGAGATCAGTCTAGGGGTTTCCTGTTGGGTTTTTATTGGAACAGTATAATGAATAGGGGTCAAAAGGGGTCTCCTCCAGCAGGCTGGACTCAGGAAATTGCCCTACACCCACATATTGCAAGCTGCCCCAATGCACAAGCTTCAACCTATTTATGGACTCTTCCTCATCTTCTGGACACACCTCCCCAGGGGTTGGCTAAAGTCTCATAAATATTCAGGCTGCAGCCCCTGCCCTCCTCCAACTATGCTCTAGAAATCTCTAGAAGACAGGGGGAAGTAGCAGAGCAGCAGCCTGAAAAACTCTGAGTAGCTGATTACAGTGGAGCTAAAACTAAATTTGACCTCGCAGCCTACTCTAACTAGGAGGGTGCTACACTTCCATAAGCACTTAAGGCCCCTTTTCCATGGCAGACCAACCGGGTCCGCCTGTCTGTTTTTCAGGCGGACCCAATTGGACCACCCATCTGTTTTTCAGGCGGACCCAATTGGACCACCCATTGTTCTCTATGGGGAGGCGGATGTAAACTAACATGTGTCTGTTTACCCCCACCTGCATCCGATCTGATGCCAAAAACAGATGGATGAGGATATGTTCCCCATCCAAATACACGTTTTCTTTGTCTCTCTATACAAGTGCAAAGGCCAGTTGGAACCTGTATCAGCACCCTCTTTACTACCCCTTGCCTGTTCCCCAACAGAGCTTGGTGCAATGCATTCCAGGAGTTGTATTCTAAAACTGTCTTTAGCAGGTAATGACATAGCAAATGTAGTATGCAGCTCCTACAGTACTGTATTTTCTTAACCACCTTCCACCCGCCCTATAGTACAATGACGGGCGCAAGGTGGTTCTCTCGTTCTACCATTCTCACTGCGCATGCGCGGCTCAGGGAGTGCGCAGCGCGGCGATCGCCAGTGCGCTGTGTCCCTCGGACACAGTGGATCACGGAAAGAGCCGAAGATATCGGCTCGGTCATGTGATCAGCTGTGTCCAATCACAGCTGATCACATGTAAACATGGAAATGTCGGTTACCGGCATTTCTCTCCTCTCGAGCTGTCACGCTGACAGCTCGAGAGGAGAGCCGGTAATTGGCTTTCTGCGGAGGGGACATGTACACTGATCATCAGGGCACTGATGATCAGTGTGCCCTGATGATCAGTGTGGCCCCAGAAGTGCCACCTGTCAGTGCTCATCAGTGCCACGTGCCAGTGCCCATCAGTGCCACATCAATGCCACATATCAGTGCATACCAGTGCACATCAATGCCACATATCAGTGCCCATCTGAGCTGCCTTTCAATGTCACACATCAGTGCCAGTCAGTGCCACCTATCAATGCCAATCAGTGCCACCTATCAGTGCTGCCAACCAGTGCCACCTATCAGTGCCAGTCCGTGCCGCCTATCAGTGCCAGTCAGTGCCGCCTATCAGTGCCAGTCAGTGCTGACTATCAGTGTCAGTCAGTGCTGACTATCAGTGCCACCTATCAGTGCCATATATCAGTGTCATGTGTCAGTGTCATGCATCAGTGCTGCCTTTCAGTGCCCATCAGTGATGCCTGCCAATACCCATCAGTGCAACCTACCAGTGCCTCCTGATCAGTGCCCATCAGTGCCACCTATCAGTGCAGCCTATCAGCTCCCATCACTGCAGCCTCATTAGCGCACATCAGTGAAGGAGAAAAATCACTTATTTACAAAATTGTATAACAAAAACTAAGAAAAAACTTTTTTTTCAAAATTTTCTGTGGTTTTTGGTTTGTTTAAGAAAAAATAGAAATCCCAGAGGTGATTAAATACCACCAAAAGAAAGCTCTATCTGTCTCAAAAAAATGATAACAATTTCATATGGGTACAGTGTTGCATGACCGCGCAATTGTCATTTAACCACTTGAGCTCCAGAGGATTTACCCCCCTTAATGACCAGGCCTCTTTTTGCTACTCGGCGCTGCACTAATTCAACTGATAATTGTGCGGTCATGCAATGCTGTACCCAAACGTAATGTATGTCCTTTTTTTTTGACACAAATAGAGCTTTCTTTCGGGGGTATTTGATCATCTGTGCGCTTTTTATTTTTCACGCTATAAACAAAAAAAGGCCAAAAAATTTTGAAGAAAAACAATATTTTTTACTTTCAGCTATAAAAAATATATAGTAAACTCAAAGTTTGTTATAAATTTAGGCCAAAATGTATTCTGCTACATGTTTTTGGTAAAAAAAAATCCCAATAAGTGTATATTGATTGCTTTGTGTGAAAGTTATAGCGTCTACAAACTATGGTATAAATACTGCAATTGACGCCATTTTTCTGCTATACAGCGCTGCGCTAGTTTAACGGACAATTGTGCGGTCATGCAATGTGGCACATAAATGAAATTTACATCCTTTTTTTCCCCACAAATTGAGCTTTCTTTTGGTGGTATTTGATTGCCTGTGCGGTTTTTATTTTTTGCTCTATAAAAAAATAGGCTGACAATTTTGAGAAAAAAAAAACAATATTTTGGACTTTTTGCTATAAAACATGTCCAGTAAAAAAATAAATGCAAAAATCAAATTTTGTCATAAATTTCTGCCAAAATGCATTCTGCGACATGTCTTTGCTAAAAAAAACCCCAAAACAATACGTGTAAATTAATTGGTTTACGTGAAAGTTATAGCGTTTACAAATGGCGGGAAAGATACTGGGATTTTTAGTTTTTTTTTTATACTAATAATGGCGAATTTATGGCGGCGATCAGTGACTTATGGCAGCGACCAGCGACTTATGGCGGGACTGGCGGGACTGCGGCGGACATTCTGACATTGGGGGGGTACTGGCTTGGGGTCACTGACATCCCCAAAAACACTAATACAGTGATCAGTGCAAAAAAAAAAAAAACTGACACTGTACTAATGGCACTGGGGAGGAAGGGGTTAACTTTTTTTGCAGGAAAGGGTTATCTGTGTGAGGGGGAGTGTTTTTTACTACGGGGCGGGGGTGTGTGCTGCACGGGACACCGCTGATCGAGAGAGAAAGTCTTCTTTCTCGATCAGCTCGTCCTGGAGCTGTCAGGGAAGTGACAGACAGCACAGCTACTGCAGCTGTGCTGTCTGTCACTGTTTGCCGCCGATCGCCGGGAAACAGCCGGTAAGGACCGGCTGTGACCCGGCGACTGACATCCGCGGCGTTGATCGGCGGGACAGATAGGGCGGCGGCGCGCCTCGCACGCGCCCCCTGTTTACAAAACGCACGTTTTAAAATGTGGTTTTGCCTGCCCGTGCTGCCCTGCTGCCGTATTTCTACAGTGGCAGGGTGGCAAGTGGTTAAAGTGTGACAGCGCTGAAAGCTGGAAATTGGCCTGGGCAGGAAGGGGGTATAAGTGCCCTGTAGGCTAGTGGTTAAAACAGCTAGTGCAGAAATAATATTGGAAGCATAATCATCTACAACAATGCATTTAAAATTATATTTTTTAAACATTGATTCCTATTCAACATTAGCAGTATTTCTGCTATTTGTGTTAGTTTTATGATGAGTTCTTTAAAAGTGAAAGAATTTACAGTCTCACAGACAGGGTTTTTTTTTCTCTCTGAGTGTAGGTACAGGAACTCTCCCCTTCTGAGTTACCCCTTGTCTCTGCCCCCTAACCACCTACGAACACCATCCTTTCGTTCTACTACCTACCCACCTACCAGTAACACCCCTTTTACTGAATACAGAACCAAGTATCATTTTGTGATATTAAGTAATTTGTAAAAACATAATAAGCAGTAAAAAAGATCCCCTGCTGCCAGCAACAAAAGCACCCCCAGCAGCAAAATACACCCCCTAGCAACAATAGACCCCTCCATCATCAAGAGATATCCCCCAATAGAACAATAGATCCACCACAGCCATCATCAATAGATTCTCCAGCACACACCAGCACTCCTTGCCATTACATACATTCAGTGCTGGAGTTGCTCGAACTGCGTTCCCACTGGAAAAGAGCCCTGCTCACAGATTTTATCATCACAGTTACTGCTTTGTCTGGAAAATGCCTGAACTGTTATTGAGCTAACACAATTCTTCGCAATAGTAACTCTTTTTATGATACAGTGGCGGGTAATGTCTGTTTTAGAATGCAGTTAACATTCAGTGTTGTAACCATTCAGCTTGTCCATCAAGATATTACATATCAGGTTTCTGGATTATTTCCAGTGTGACATGTTGACAAAGCTTCAGTTATTTGCTGAGATTCCCTCACTGGATTTTGGTCAATTTGATCTGCACTTTGGTTACTATTTAACTAACTGCATAACCTGAGATGATATTGCTGCTATATTAGATATCCAAGAGCTCAGGGGACCAGGTCTGGACTATGAAAATGAGAAACATAGCAAACCTCTCCAGTATTTTATTACTTACTACAAGTATTTACTGTATATAGCACACAGTGTACACATTGTACATAGATCAGTCCCTGCCCTCAAAGAACTTAAAGTGGAATGCCAGCTCAACCCTATCTACTCCTAAAAATGCCCCCCCAACACCTATGCTTACTAATCTGTGTAAGAAAAATGTAACCTATTTTCAGGCCGTTCCGGCCTAATAACATACTGTCCCCTGTGTTAGCCAGTGGTCCTGCAGTGGAGAAAAGAGAGCATTCCGACAACTGCTAGGCTTCAATGGCCCATATGTTGTTGGGCCACAACACAGGGGAGGGGGATCATGTGAATGGACCGGAGCGGTCTGAAAATAGAAGTGTGGAGGGGATAGTTTATAAGAGTAGTTAGGGTTAAAGTTGGAATTCCACTTTACCACTTTAAAACTGCATTATAGCCAAAAGATTGCTACAGAGCAACTCTCTAATTCTGGGAGGGCATTCATGAGCACAACAAGCACGATCTGTAACTGCTGTTTTGTTTGGACACAGCTGATCACAGATTGCAGTAAAGGGCCAATCATAGAAGCCCTTTATCATGTGATCAGCTGCGTCCAATCACAGCTGATCACATGTAAACAGGCTTTCTGTTGTCTGCGTGAGAAAAGGACAGCCGACACCAGGCAAGGCTGTCAGTACTTTATTTACACAGATAATCTGGGCACTGATCATCAGTGCAACTTATCAGTGCCACCTATCAGTACCACCTTATCAGTGCAGCCTCATCAGTGCTCATCAGTGTAGCTTCACATCAGTGAAGAAGAAAAATCACTCATTTGCAAAATTTTATAACACAGAAACTTTTTTTTCCAAAATTCTTTTTTTTTTCCAAAATTTTCATTTATTTTTCTGTTTGTTTAGCAAAAATTAAAAAAAACCAAGTTATGTTTAAATACCACCAAAAGAAAGCTCTATCTGTCTCAAAAAATTGATAAAAATTTTGTTTGGGTACAGTGTTCCATGACCGTGCAATTGTCATTCAAAGTGCAACAGCACTGAAAGCTAAAAATTGGCCTGCGCAGGAAGGGGGTGAAAATGCCCAGTATTGAAGTGGTTAAAGTCTAAGGTGTAAACCTGACATACTAGGGTCAATCTAGGTAGGATCCAATTAACCTATCAACATGTATTTGGAGTAGGGGAGGAAAACCAAACAAGCACAGAGGGAACATTCAAACTTCATGCAGGTCGTGTCCTGGTTGGGATACAAATAAGGACCAGGAAGCCTAGTGCTACAAGACAGGAGGGCTATATGCTGAGCAATGTGGTGCCCAGTGTGCATAATAACACTGGAGTAATCGAAACATAGATGTACCCAACCAAGTGTAATACTTCTTAAGATGTACATTGAATGCAGAATACATTTTAAATCTGTTTGTACCACAGTATAATTTGTACATATAATATATGATACAAATGTACAAATTGTAGTTGCATTTATGCCTGTGGGGCCCAACCCTTCACTTTTTTTTATGCTGGATCAAAGTGCAGCATGAGCACTGCTGTCAGCTTGGCATGTCCTTTGGGGACAGATTTAAAGCCTATCTAAATCCAAAAGCAAAAATATAATATATTGCAGCTTAATAACCCTTACATGTGGAGGCTGCATTTCTTTTTTAGGCTTTTTTGCCTTTATTTTAACCTAATGGTTGAGCCAGCAATTCTGCTACTTTTCAGCTTCCTTTTACAGACCAAGTAGTAGTTAGAGGCTTGAGACAAACTAATTATCATTGACAGGGGTGCTTACAATGGTTAGCTTTTTTCATTTAACTTTTATCCAAGAAGGTAAAAAACTGTTCTTAGAACAGCTTAAAAAGTGTTAGCGGGAGGTCTGCTTTAATTTGTTAGTCAAGTCCATCTAAATCTTATAGTGCTTCTAATACTACCCTCACTCCAGATTGACAATGCTGCTCTTCAAGGGTGCCTCTGTGCTTCTCCATCCAAAGTGGAAATATCCTAAGACAGAGTGTGTGTTCATGGCTGGATCACCAGGGAAATAAAGGAAAAAAAAATCTGAAAAAA